GTTCCTGACATGTTGGCAAATACTTGACTTTTCCTGTCGCTGTCCGATTAAAGGAGACTACAGCGTGTCCCTCGCCACAGTGTCCAGGGTGTAGTTACTGGGGATCAGGGCCCAGGGCAGGTGGACCAGAGCCTGTTCAAGGCTCTTTCCCTGCTGTGTGCATTAAGATCCCACCACCATCGTCAGGGATGGGGGGGAAGCCATGTTCCCCAGTTTTGTTTACTCGTGTTGCTTCTAACTGGCTTGCGGAGGAGTGGTGTCTCATTTGGCCAGTAGAGGAGCCAAAATCAGACATCAGAACAAACCACAGAGGAAAAAACTCAGCTGTTTATGTTTTCAATTGACCGTATCACTGTAAGCCAAATTTATGTTGTGTATTTGGAAGGTTGATGCAACATCGTGTAGCGGAACTTTTGGTTTCCTTCGGATGTCCTCATCGCGACCCCCAGAAATGTTTTCCCACCCCATTCAGATCAAGAAGCAGCAGCAGGATGTCATGGGCTTCCTGGCGGCCAACAAGATCGATTTCGAGGAGTGCGACATTGCAGCAAACGAGCAGAATCGGAAGTGGATGCAGGAGAACGTTCCAGAGAACTCCCGGCCTGCCACCGGGAACCCACTGCCGCCGCAGATCTTCAACGATGAGCAGTATTGCGGGGTGAGTGTCGAGATTGAATTACCTTAAACCTAAAGACACAAAGAGACTGTTTATCAATATGCGTACTTGACTGTTCTTGTGTTCTCTCATTCCCTTTTGATGTCGTCTTCCGTTAGCAAAGTACAGTTCCGATACTCGAACAGAAGTATGGATGGTAAAAATCAGCGGACGTTGTTCTTGCCCCACCCCGAGTACCAACAAGAACAATCTCATGATTCATGTCCCAGGTTCGGTCTTGGGAGGTTCCTTAGCAAAAACACAAGTGTGTTCTTTGCATTCTTGGTATTGATAAACACCCAGAGCTTAGGTTTTGGTGCTATGATACATTGTGAACCAATAAGCAGGCTGACTGGTTACTATGGAAATGCCCACAACTGAGCACCTGATTGGCTGACGAAAAAGGCCAATTGGTGAATGCTAGCTTAGCCATATGATACAAGCACTGAGGCAGGCTGGCCAGTGGCATTGAGCTTGAATGGTCATCTACTTGTGGGTTTTTCCCTGTTTCTGAAGATCTAAGGCAGATGAAAGGGAAAATTTAATGGTACAGACGCTCCTCTACTTACAGTCCTCTTCGTTCGTATGTCTGAAAGTTTGTAAGTCCAAATTGTGTTCATTGGGCTCCCGTTTCCTGTCCACAACATCATTTTTTTTTTTTTTTTTTTTTGCGTGCCAATTCCACTTAGTACCACTTCTGGCCGCTACTCCCGCCGCGTAGCTGTGTAGCGTGCGAACTCCCAGCATCCTAGATCTTTGTACTTGCGTATACCCTTAAAATGATGTTGAATAATGACTTACGACCATTTCAAGTCACAAACGGCCGTTCAGAACGTAACTCGTTCGTAAGTAGGGGAGCGTCTGTATATCAAATATTTAATATTGATTCTTCCCAGATTGTGTCATCCATCCATCTGTGTTCCAAAACCACTTATCGAAATTGAGGTGACAATGAGGTCTCTCTTTAAACACTTAGGAAGTGTTCCTGTGACTCTGTCTTTTCTTTCCCCAGAATTACGAGGCCTTTTTCGACGCCAGGGAAGAAAATGCTGTGTATGCATTCCTAGGCCTGACCGCTCCCCCTGGTTCCAAGGTGGGTTCCAGCCTGACCATCTGCCCTCTCATAGGTCACAGCTCCCCCCGGCCTGCGCTTACGTACCTGTCACTCAAAAGGAAGAGCGAGCACATGTGTGTTGTAGCCATCGTGTTAGGGAAGCCCCGCCTTCCTGATGATTTACGCATCTTTTTGGATGGTGACTTAGGATGGTGGATGATGAATTATACAGCTTTATGTGACCAGAACTGTCTATATGAGGTGTATATACCATATTTGAATGCTTGTATTTCTCAGTTTGTGTAAACAGTCTGTGTCTTGCCAGTATCTGTGTGCGTGTGTGTATGTACAGTGTGTGTCTGCTTATAAATGTTGCTCCCTCAGAAATTAAGGCTGCGATGGCAACAAAGACGGTATAGTTCAGGCAAGACCGGCATCATAAGAGTCTGAAATAAGTGTAGTAGATGTAGCAAGTGAGATGGCAGTGACCGGTGATGTGAAGGTCACTGTAGGGCGACCGGTGATGTGAAGGTCACTGTAGGGCGACCGGTGATGTGAAGGTCACTGTAGGCACTGGCCACCTTGAAACGGAAAACTCCCAAAGCACGAATTGGCCAGTAATGAGATGTAAATTTTATTCAGGAACACAACTCCACACTATGGGCCACTCTAACTGGCATGTAACCCCCGACTGACAATGGGAAACTGGTCCCCAGCATCACACACACACACACATACACGATGCCATACAATCCCAGTCATGACACCGTTAACCCCTACCCAGCCCTAACCTTAACCACATGTAAGCAAACAAGACACAAGACATTTTGCATCCATGCAAACACACACACACACACACACACACATGTAGGTGTCACTGCTAAACGCTTTCCATTCGTCCTGTATTCACAAGCGTCACACACGTAACGAGAATCCAAGGTTACTACACCTTTGTCCATAGTTCATGTTCCGCTGACATTTGTCCCACATGAATAGGCTTAGTATCTGAAACCAACAGTGCCCCCTACAGGTAAACACCCCCATCGCTCTCGCACTCACACAGTTGGAGACACACCAAAGCAACTTCAGCTGCCAGACCAGACATTAGCTTAGTTCCAAGCACAACCAGCCATCGTGTCCAGTGTGCATGACAGCTGTAGCCAATAAAAGTAATCTGTCAATGGCCAAATAACTTATCAGCACCGGACTTTTTGTATCGCGCCCCCCATCCCCCCACTGCTCCTCCACCACAGGTCAGTATGACCCCGCAGAGTAATGGCTAACACTCAAATAGGCAGGGTGTTAATTAAGCTGAAGTTCCTGCCTTACCCCGTCAAGCTTGACTGGTCCCAGCATCCCATTTATCCTCCTCCAGTAACTGCCCATAGTCCCCGCACCCTTTTAATTAGATCACGCCACCCCCCCCCCACACACACACACACACGCGCACACACACACATAATAAGTACAGGCTTGTAGGTTCAGCGTTCTAAACAATCTGCAGATACACACACTGATACCCTCGAGTTCCCAAGATGTACCAGCATATCACGAATCAAGGATGCCAGAACTTTGGCCCACACCTTCTAAGAAGATCATTGCAGGCAGGGAGGGAAAGAAAATCAAATAAAACTCACAAGCAGATTAATAATGGACTCTTCTTTACTGGGGCCTACTTTTGGCACATTAGAGATGAAATACTGCTGAAAGACTTTGTATTCGGGTGCCAGGCACCTCGGTGCAGCTCCTCGCGATGCAGGAGACTGACAGAAGGAGTAGCTGATGGTTTGTGGTTGAAGTTTGCATGGAATACTTGTGTTCTGCCTTTTCAATACTTCTGTTTTCTTGACTGCAAGCCAGAGTCTGCCCATCCTCTTTTTGAAGATGCTTTTGCAAACTTTTGTATGGAGGACAAAATCATTTACAGAAATATTTAATGAAGCTGTGGAAAACTCCCTAAATGTCAGAAAGTTCTGTTGAGAAAATAGACGGCAAAGTCAAATTGACAGACTTTTCCTGTTTGTACGTGTTCGAAGGGGTTAGGCTATTAGTGCCAGTGAAATTAACTACCTTTCTCATTCTCTCAACAGGAAGCAGAGGCCTTAGCCAAAAGGCAACAGCAGTAGTCAGCAACTGTCTTCCACGGTCATCGGCGCCCTCTAATGTCAGCCTCCAGTACTTCAGCTCGATGCCAGTGCATTCTGGGAGGGCATTCATAATCACAATCTTTGCGTCCTCTGTTAAACTCAGTCACGCCATTTCACTTCATGTTTATTTGGGTCATTTCCTGTCATTTTGAATTCTTTAGCTTCCTGCCGGTGTTTTAAGAGCATATAACACGGGGAGGGGGGGGGAGGGGGTCCATGAATGTGTTTGTCTTTACAGCCATCCTGTTCAGTCAACTTCTGAAAACCATGAAATGCAGCCTGTCACACATGTACTCCACTGCAGATCCTACCATATACTGTGCAGCATTTTGAATGTGCTACTTTATGAAGAACTCATTCCTTTGACCTAGTAACCTTCAAACCTATGAGCCTTAATACAGCTTGCTGCAAATAGTCACCTTATTACATTATATTGAAAATCATATAGGCAAGTATATTTGCACTGATATAAGGATGTTTGTTATACTTGTGCTAAGGGTACCAGTTCATTTATCTGATGCACGAAGTGTATTTGTTTCCTAATGTAAGTCTTAATGTGCTTTTTGTTTTTTCTCCTCTGTTTTTTTGCACCCTTTGTCTATTTAACAGAAGTTGACCAGATAATGCCAAAAGTAGAAGGTACATTTTAATGCCACAGACAATTATATTCTGTCTTAAAGAATGGGTTGGGAAGGTAAGATAGGAACACATTGAAACAGACTAGTGACAAAGGTTTGGTGTACTGATGGCTCACGTAGCCACTGAAGAATCGTTGAGAAAAATGCATAGAACTGTATTCATCTACAAAATTTGTGCCATTCACGTATTTGTAGTATTTTGAGGGACATTTTTTGTTCTTTTTCATTTGTTCAGTCAATTTGAGGTAATTCTGAAATGGGTATCCGTAGCATTAGTGTAGAAATAAAGCTGCATCGCTTCTAAGCCACCGGAAAAAAATAAATCAAAATTGTTTTTACGGTTGTTTTTGAAATAATAAAGACGCAAATCGAACTTTCGTCGTTTGTGCTTTTATCACTAATACTGCAGGAGAAACACGTACGCCATTGGTATGTTAATTCCCAGGCACTCACAAGACCTGATTTTTCTTATGTTTTGGCATGCACCAAATGTCTTTATAAACCCGATACCTGAGTCATTGTGACGGCGATTTTGGACGTGCGTTGCAGGATAAAATCCCAGGTGGGGGAATTGCTCTGATACTTTGAGTAGCACTTAAGACTCCTTTGCAACCGTAATCTATCCGTGTAGCGCTATTTGCCGTGGGGAGAGATCCGTGCTGCGGATCTTTAGCAATCTATTTAATTTTTCTTTTTTATCCAGTCATTCCCCAAAAGTAGCGCCAAGAGAGTGAGGCTGAGCCAGATTGCAAGTGCTGCTGTGCTTCGGATCGGGACAAGCTTGGCTCCCTGTTAACATGGGGATTTCTGTACGCCGCCCCACCCAATTCTTGATTCGGGACACGTTTGTACCAGTTTATTCAGAAATGAATCGCATTCATTATTTCTGTTACAAATTAGAAAGGAACAAAGTTTACCCAAACCATATGTCCCCGATTCTCTTGAAAATTCTGGTACAGGGTGACGGGTAAGAGTAAGACCCGGGATCGGGGGTAGAAACTGTGGGGCTTTGGCGCAGCTGCGGCACCAATAAACCGGCTGCTTCTCTGCGGCCCTGCTGTGTGTTTCACGTGGAGGGGAATACATGACTTGGTGTTTTTTGAAATGCTGGAGTAATTGTCTGTGTCTAATCACGCAATATCCACAAGGGGATTTTCTTCCTTTTCGTAATCCGTGAGAAGACGCAGTTATAAAGCTACACTAATTACGCGAGACTAGTGTTTTTATAATTTAGAAGTAGATCTGGCATTTTCACCGAATAGCCTCTATATTTATGGGGAATTTTAAAAGGAACAAATAAATATGTATATTAAACGGATGGAGGGCGAGAATAGTTTCTATTCTTTTCTCCCGTCGAATAAGAGAATGGAATCTTTCAGTTTATAATATGCATGGATATGGCTGGATTTGCAACAGTTTTTTAAAATGATCATTTCTGCTTTATCTTTTCTCAGTGATATTGATACTGAAATAGAAATAGTTCATTTCGATGGCACAAGGTACCATCCATTTTTGTGATTTACAAGCTATAAATGTAAAATATCCATTTAATGCATTGAGGTGTAGTTAATTAACTGTTAATTAAGTGCTAAATATTTATATCTGGCTTGCACATGCATGCAAATCTTGGCATTGAGAGAAAGCAGACAGAAATGGTTCAGTCTGGGCCATGTGCAGTCTGCGGAACTGGTGAATGACTTGGCTGGGGAGGGGCCACATATGCCAGAGGGGGAGGGGGGGGGCAGCCTCAGGAGGACCTCATGGCGTGGGAGACAGGCATGCAAGTCCATGGCCAGAAAACCGTGACCTAAAATGGATGCCAGCTGCGGCAGGGGGGGCCGGCGGCAGGTGGAGGGAGGCACAGCCGTGGCTGGGCGGGGCCACAGCTTGTGGCCATTTGGGGGGGGGCACATGGAGCCGACAGGGAAGTCTGCCTGGGGTCTGATGCCGTTGCCTAGGAAACAGAGCATCTGGGGCTAGAATGGTAGCCGGTTGCAGGAGACGATAACAAACAGGAGCTATTACTGCAAACCACAAAGGAGGGCTATTTCAACAATGACGCTGCTGACTCACCATAGCCATTAATACCCCAGGAGAAGCTTCTTAGAGTTCAGGAGACGTCTATTTAGCAAGATGAGCAAAAAAGTGAACGTAAACATGGCCGAAATCCTAAGAAAAAAGCAAGGCTTTCAGGCAGAGGTAGATAGTTCAGGTCCAGAAAGTAAAAATCCAGACCAAGACTTTGTCTCAACCAAAAACTTGAGAATAAAGCATCACAGTCACAGAGTGCTCAACTGATGGAACTAAATCTTGGTCTGGATTTGTACTTTCTGGACCCGGACTATCCTCTTCTGGTTTCAGGAAGCCTCAGGGTAGAATGTGACAGATGCTATGGTACATTGTTCATTGTGGGTGTCTGACAGACCAACTCAGAAGAAGCTGAGAAGGTCATCAGGTAGGATGGGAGGTCAGATGAGCAAAATAAGGGGCAGGTGTTGGTAAAGGGCAGGCGAGGGGCCTTCTAAGCAAAAGAGTGACCACAAAAGAGTGATCACAAAAGAGTGATCACAGTACGGCTTTCATTGTCTTACATAATGTGGTTATCAAAAAAATAACCTGCAACTGATTTTGTCCATTACAAAGCCTGACAGTATACAGAATCCTATGATCCTATGATCACTCCCCCTTCCTCTGATTATGGCCACGCCCCAAAGTGGTCCAAAAACAATATTAGTCAGGTGTTCATTCATCCTTTAAGGCTCCGTGTTACAGACACCTAAAGGCTCTTCTTAAAAAAAGTTTAAAAGTATCTGGGTGTATATTTCAGTGCCCACTGGTTCCTGTTTTTCTGCTGTGAAACAGTTTCAAGAGCTCCTCCTCCTCAGTGAGCATTCAAAGACAGATGACCGTAGCGCTGTGAGGGCGAATGGCGACGTGAGCGGCGTATCTGCTCTCCGCATACCGGGCAGTGTCTTCCCTGTTGGGTCTCCATCCAGAACTGCTGGTAAGGCTTCTGATGAGCTTCTCTCCTTTAATAATAATGGGTGTATTTACAGTATAGAGCACCTTTCACAAACTCAGTGTTGCTTGACAAGTAGGAGGGAAAAAAAAAGATCTATGTAGTTAAGGAAATGTTCAACAAAAAGGAAGGTCTCTGAGTCAGATTTAAAAGCGGACATTGAAGAACTGTTGTGTTCGATTATGGGTGTCTGTCAGATGTCTGTTTTTGTGGAAAGTTCTCTTTTCCTGGATGATATGATGGCTTTACGGGTAACGTCGCTGTCACGCACTTTAGGCGTTTGTTCGTGTTTTAATCTGGCTCTGGGTCTGGAGGTGGTTGTCATATGTTCGTCCGTTGGGTTTCCTCTGGGTTTTCATACCAAAATTTGTGACTTGCCCCCCCCCCCCCCCCCTTTCCCCCGGCTAGCCATTACTCTGTGAGGGAACGGGCATCTGTGTGGATGACCCTGGAGATGGATTGGCATCCCACCAGGGAATAACCCACTCCATCTCCTATGGTTCCCACGGCCACAAAAGTGGTTGCTAAAAACAGATGAATGGGAAATGTCTTTTCCACTTTGGTCTTCCAGATACCTATTGCGAGTGCGTCCATAATAGTGCTCAATCTCGGTTTATATTTTCGCTGAAAAATGTGTTTCCTTCAGGATATTCCACAAGAATGACCATGTATACACTGAGCTTGCTGGAAAGTTCAATGAACATGAAACATGTTACCAGCTGTTACTAGCTGATAGTTCGCAAACGTTCCTCTAACCAATGACCTGTTTCACCCAGGCCTCACGTTCGCCCCAGCTGAGTTATGCTGAGTGAGAGCTTCCTGTCTGTGCTCAGGTATAAGAAGGAGGTGGTGGACAGGACACCCCCAAGCCCTAGCATCAGAGGTACCCACACCTGCACTCACCCTGTCGAGGTCACCCCAGACCTCATAAGGCTAAAATATCTCAAAGGTGAGGGGAATGTTTTTTTTGTAAATTATGAAAAGCAATGAAGATAAACAGTGTAATTCAGTTTAATACTAATCAATTTCCTTGCTTGGTTCTCCCATGTAAAGGTCAAGACAAGCCACCAGGCATGTCAAAAGTTGTGGAGAACCTGAGCTCCAAGGTGTTGGCCCAACCAAGCCCCACCCTCTCCATCCCTGGCACTGAGGGTCACCCCTACTGTGGACTGGAGCTCTACCGCTCCTGGTGCTGCCCCAGCTTTTGCAAAGATTACCCCGATCTGCAGCTGGGAGGGGACCTCATTGGAGACAAGGCTTCAGAGAGCCCCATCCTGGACGATAAGGCCTACGGGGGCCCGTTTCTGAAGTCCGAGGATTTGGCCGAGATGGCGCCCCTGCTGCTGGAGCCGATCTTCTTGGATCCACAGTGTGATGTGGCGCCCCCGGCTGGAGAGGCAGCAGACAGCAGCATCATCCTGTCAGGGGAGCCACAATCTGATTCGATGCTCAACAGTTACCTGGAGAACAAGCAACTGGAGGTCTACTTGCAGCACCTACAGGACATGCTGGCCCGGGGGGGCTCTTCACCCAGCATGCTCCCTCCCAGCCTGGCCTCCCCTAATCTGGCCCCGTCCACACCAGCCCTGTCCAGTCCCCTCCAGTTCAACCAGCCTCAATCCACAGAACCTAGTGCAGTGGGTCCCCTGACCTCCCAGTCCAACACGGCTGTCAGCTCCCACTTCAGCTCTCCCATGCTACGTATCTCCAACTCTGACCCAGGGAAGAGGCAGCCTCCTCTCTGTCACTACGACCTGCAGGCGCCGTGCTCTACGAAGCCGGGTCAAAATCCAAACCCTCGGTGAGAACCATGCTTCTTTTGGCTGGTAGCTCTGGAAACATCCCAGATAAGTTCAGGTTTCATTCATATAGTTGTTGACAGTAGCTAGAAGTAGCTAACAGCTTGCTCTACAAAGAGCAAGTTGAGGGAGGCGTAAAAACAATTTCCCCACGGGGATCAATAAAGTACCAATTATTATTATTATTATTATTATTATTATTATTATTATTATTATTATTATTAACTAGATCACACAGGCCTTCCTTAAGAAGGAACAGTCCAGGTCATAATAGACCAGCATTACTCTAAACCAGTGTTTCTCAAAACATGTCCACCAACCCCCAAGATGGTCCATATTTTCGCTCCCTCCCAACTCCCAGGAAATTGTGAGAGAGCAAAAACTGGACTGTCTGGTGGTCCTCAATGACTGGTTTGAGAAACACTGCTCTAAAAGGTTCTTTGAGGCTGTAAAGACAAAAGACAGAAAATGCCTCCCCCCCACATTTGACATGATGTTACTTCCTGCCTACTCAGAATTCTGCACTATTTCCTGTTTCTTATGTGTGACTTGTAAGCGGGCGAGAAGATAGGAATAGCTGTGTGACGCATGTCGTTTGTGATGTCTGTGGAACTGCATGTGCAGGAAGTCATATTTCTGGAACAGTAGAACACGAACCATGAACAGCAGAGCACGCAAAGTGGGAAGAGAAATCGATACCGTTCTGTATGAATGGTCCGTCCTCCCTACAGCTGGAACCACGTATTCTTCCCTGAATTAAACTAATATAAGCGTGACAGTCACTCAGACACGAAGCCACAGAGATGGGAAAAACGGGAACCTGTACAAGAAAGAAGAAATTTGCTGAATCTCATTCTTTGTAAAGCAAGATGCCTGTGGTTTACAGGATTATAACAGCACTGTATTTTAAGAAATGTGACACTATCCATTTAATTTAGCCATTGTGATTTAAATGTTATATATAGTGTACGTAGATAATGTGTTTTACAAAATAAATACAATCGTCTTGATGTAAAATATCCATTCTCTTTTTATTTATTCCTGTCATTGCCTGTAAAGATATTTTTATTTGAGGAAGGTGCTATATGAAGTGTTGCCTCTCACCTCTGGGGCCCGGGTTCGAGTCTCCACCAGGGTTCCATGTGTGTGGAGATTGCATGTTCTCCTCGTGTCATTGTGGGGTTTCCTCAAGGTACTCTGGTTCACACCCAAGTCCAAAAACATGCTAAGGTTATTTGGACTTAAATTTTGCGCATAGGTGTGCATGTGTGAGTCTGCCTGTGATGGGTTGGTACCCCACCCTGGGTTGTTCCCTGCCTATAGCCTGCAGGATAGACTTTGGACCCCCCCCCCGCCCCACCCACCCATTAGACAAGCAGTTACAGAAAATAGATGGATGTAAACATTTCATCTGTGTCGATAAATGGCCAAAACGGCATTTCAAAGGCGTACGGCATAGACTAAGCATATCTTTTTGTAAACGCCTGCCATCTTCTGTTTCATTTTGGTATTGCGTCGTTTACTGAATCAGCCTCGATTTGAATACACTGCGAATAGAACAAAGTTTAGTAACTCAGAATCTTCGGGCCAAATGAGACACGTTTTCCTGAGTTGGCTATAACCAGCGGAATAAAATGCCGTGTAAAAAGGTTGTTTTCAGTATATCATTTATTATTTTCCAATTTACCGATTCAGAGCACCATATGCTAACAGGGTTGGTACACAGCCAATCTCTACCAGTCATCCAGCTATCCAAATATTTTCTGATGCTCACATCGTCACGTTGTTTAAGTCTATGTTAGGACTTAAAGTCAAGTCAAGTGGGGCTTTATTGTTAACGCAACCGTATCCAGGACACTGCATACGGTGACGCAAGATTTCCCCGGACCACGGTACTACGTAAACAAGCCCACAGTTGAGCGATGAAATAAACGTCTGGTGGTGAAGTTTGTAGGGGGAACCCCCCACTAAAATGAGCCACGACAGTGTTCCTGAGTATAACCAGTGTAATAGGCTGTCATGTAAAAAAGTTATTTTCAGTATGTCATTTATTAATTGCCAGAAACAATGTACATGCAACATGTAGTAACGTGGTCGGTGCAATCCATACTAGTCATCCAACTATCCAAACATTTTCCGAATCTCACATCCTCGTGTTTTTTAAGTAGGCCTATATTAGGATGGGGGCGCTGGTGGCAAAGTTTGCCGGGGCGGGGGCATCGGTTTATAATTCGGCACCCCCTCAGAAGACGATGCCCCCTAGGCGGCTGCCCATGTCATCTAAAGGGTTGACTGGCGCCAGGGATGTACTCCAAACAAAAAGCGCGCTGAAATTTGCTGTCAAGCAGCCCCAGTTGGATATTTTCTCGGCTACTGGGCCGTATATTTTTTCCGATCGTGGTCATATATGATATTTAATGCCGGGGCATCGGGGAAGAATTTCCAGATTTTCTCAATTGCCGGTCTGCACCCGACTGGTACTGCTCTATGACTATGTAATGGATATTATTGGTCTGATGGCTTTGAATGAGTCCACATTTGATACCCGCTTCAGCGTCACGAAGTAACAATGTGCAAACTCAATATCCCAATGTAAATGATCGGATGTTTACACTGGGAACTATTTCCAAGTCGACACATCCTCATATTTTTAAGTCTACTTTAGGATGCTTTGGGGATGCGTTAAGTATAGTTAGTCTTTTCTATTTGTTTTCGATCCAGTTTGCCAGTACTACAGGTCTTTATTAAAAATCTTCGCTTATCCTATTCTTCTGTTGGGGCATGAAAAATAACGTTTGCATTAACGTTAAGAAATTATAATGCGTTACACGTTAAAACTTTAAAATTAACGCGAATGGATTAACTTCGACATCCAATTTTTCACAACCCAATGTTGAGATTTTTTGTAGTAACTTTCATCTAAATTACTAAAGAGCTTTATTTCCAGCCCTCAGTATAAAGATCTTGAAACCAAGAACATGGTCTAGGGGTCCTGGGGTAGCTGGGTTAGCGTCCCTCTCAGCTCTGGCCTGTGGTGTTCACACTGTTATACTGTGGATGGTGCCAATGGTCTTTAAGGGCCTTTTGCTGCCAGTTATGTCCTACTGCTAGCTAAGTGATTCCTGCGCTTATTACCATCTGGGTGCTTCTAATATGGTATGTACAGCTATGGGGACAGGTTCGCTATGGAAATACCTGCTGGTGCTCCTGGCCCCCTCCTCCCCACCCGGCTGAACCTCCTGAGCATCGACTCCCAGCCTGAACGGGGCTTGGGTAAGGCTCCTCTCATCACTGGGCATAAATATCAGTGGGGCAGCTATAGGGATGTCATGGAACGCTCCTCTGCCGTATCGGCTGTCGTTATAGCTGGATAGCTGGCCTCTTGTACATCAAAAGCTGATGTGACAGTATTCGCAGGAAAGTCTTCGAACTCGGGAAACAGGCCTGTCCTATTTGTGGCATTAAGGTGCTTGTAAACATTTCCGCAGGATCGGTAACAAGCAGCTAAATAAGTAGGAGATATTAAATATCAGTTCGTTGCTACTTTGAAAAATGATGAATGAAAGTTTGTGTGGGCCCTTAGCCATCTTAGGAGGGACTGTCTAACGTGAGATCTTTGAGATCTTCCTGTATAAACCCTCCGTGCCTTTGTTTTGGTAGCCCCCCTGACCTCCTGGCTCGCCTGGATCTTCCTCTGCTTCCTCACCTCCACAGCGTAGCACTTCTGCAGCTCAGAGGGGCGAACACTTTAATGCTTCTGTTTCAATTCTGCATGTCCCGGCACACCTGTCGATGCAGCGGAACGGCCTGCGGCCTTTAAAGAAGAAATGAATCCCAAAGAGCTATGAGAACACTTTTCAGCATCCAGTCCAAAAGTATTTAAAGCCGTAGGTTTTATCGCTGCCTCTCAGGCTACACTTCCGTCCCGAGGGCGGTGAGGACCCCTGACTTTTTTCAGGTGTCCCTCTTCATCCTGCATAGATTTATTAATATACCTGTAACTCACTGAGACTCCTTTCTCTGTCCTTTTTGCTGTCCGGCCACATTATTTTTTGGGGGGGGGTTGATCACTTGCCCCTCGATAATCTCTACATGGCACTGCTGCTGTAAACTGCATTTTCCCTAAAACCCCCTGTGTACTTGGAGATTTGCATGCTCCCCTGCCTGCCCCAGAGGGTCACAGTCATGGAGGGGGGGGGGGAGGTCATTGTAGTCACTACAGCTGCCAGGAACAGGCATGGATATCATATCCCCTCAGCCCCTCTCAACATGGTGGGGGAAACATTCATGCAAATCCATACATTTATGTAAACCATAATTATTACCTATCTATTAAATTATTGAAAATGAATTAAACTTTGTGGGATCATTTGTGTCGACATCTGCACTTTCTTTCTGTTTTACGTAGTGCAGTTTTGTGATGTCAGTCAGCGCCGTGAGCGTTGCCTTCTTACTGAGACCACGAAGAAGTACGCGGAGCCCAACATATCGCAGTAGTCCACTCTCATCGACTACTGCCTGAAGAAGGGGAGCAGCGTCAGCGAGACTCTGATCATTCATGATGTCTATGTGCTGAAGCTGGTTATCTATCTGTTTCACAATCTGCCTCTTCTGAAAGGTAGGTGGACTGCGTCCGTCCGAGAGCTAAGATAATTCAGCCTGCATACTCCGCCTTGGGTTCCTCTAACTCAGAGTCCATTATCATCCATAGGGATCTTCTGCAGATAGTCAATTCTTACACACCAATAAAGTGTGTGTGTGTGTGGGAGTCATATATATATTATATTGCGGGGACCAACTATTCCCACAATGTGATAAAAGCCTGTTATTTTGATGATCACTTTTTTTGTTCCTACAAGGGGAAACTACATTTTATAAAAAAAATCTGTGACTGCAATAAAAAAACTAAACCTGTCAAAAGTCTGGTTTTGTTTGGTTACTGATGGTTTAGGTTAGGGGTGTATTGGGGTTAATTAAAGGTTGTCATACCGAATCTGTGTATGTGAGGGTGGGGGATTTGCATGGTCTGATTAGTGTTATGTGTTCCTCTGAGTATTCCAGTTATTGCAGTGTAAAAGTATGCTGTTAGGTGAACTGGCAACACTAGCCCATGTCTGAATCCGGCACTGTACCAGTGCACCAGCAGCTGGGAGATATGGGGGAGCTGGCCAGCAGGGCATGGTAATAACCCATAATGCATCTTTCCCACGGTGATGCAGACCACAGCTGCTGTACTGTAATGTGGTGTTTTGATGTGTTAAAAGAAAAATTATACATGCATACAAATATCTAAAATTAGTATGCTAAGTATCTGTAAATTGCTCTGGATCATATTAGTAATAGACAAACTAATTAATAATAGACAAATGAATGTTATGACAACTCATCCTATTACTAATAATACCCAGTCTCACTTCATTTTACAGCGTGTTAAGAACTTGGCATAGATGTAGATTTCAGGATTCCTTGGAAGTTCAGAAGTTCATAATGTCCAGCAGGGGGCGCCGTTTTACTGTGCCACTAAACGCGGTCCAACATTCGTAAGTGCAGCACTTAGAGAATGAAACCGGGCGGTCTGTTTTCTTCTTGGAATCGCTTTGAAAATGTAAAAAATCTGAGCCAACATTAATGAAACAGGCTACGTTAATATAACCCGGTAGTTCAGTTTAAATTACACAAACTAAGGAATGCTGACAGGTAGCAGTAATTCTCATATACACAAAATGAGCAGTGGGGATTTAGACTAGAAAGTCTAGGTTGTCATTCATGGGAACTGGGGTTGTACCTTAGCATGTCTCTGTTCTCATGGTCCAAACTGATATAGGCTCGTAAAAAATCTTGCATACTCTCTTTGCCAAACCCATGTCTATGCTGGGATGTCTAGCAGACCCAAAGCTGACCCCTGTTTCCAGAGGAACTGGGCAGCATAGTGCAAATCCTCTCTGGGTACCATCACGAGGATGTATGAGGGTGGTGTGGCATCTTAACAAAAAGGGATCTCCAGATTTTAGGACGTTTC